GCTGGGGTACAACTAATGTGGAAAAGTATAATCGCACATCATATAAGCAACCTCGCTATAAGACTAAATGACAATAATGCACTTGGACAAACAACAGAGCTTAGACTAAGGCAGGCGCAATTACGTAACAAAAGCACAAAATCAATCCTCTCAATAGAAGGTGAAAGGTTAAGAAGTCTAAAAGATACACATAATCTTTTAGTTAAAGTATTAAAAGAGGCAAGCAAGATTGGTTTTGTATACAAAAGTAGAGTGCTAGAAGAAAGCCTTAGAATTGCCAGCCATGAAGAAGAAATCTATAGTGTGATAGATAAAGAACATAGAGACAAATACCTGGAAGAACCTTCACTACAACTATTTATTACAAAGCAACTGATAAATAAAAAAGGTACAAATATGCTTACTTGGAAAAAATAAGAAATCTTCGAAATAAAAAGGAGCAGGCAGAAAACCGAAATGGTTTGCCAACTAAGAAAACAAAATCATAGCCAATCAAGAATCTTGTATAATCAAAGTAAATGATCAAATAGATCCAAACTATTGGGCAATCAGACCAATATTATAACAAATTACATCAGACAAACAAAAACACAATATGATAGTTTTCGAGAATAGTAAAAAACACCCACAGTATGGAAAGATCATAGCCCAAAACAAAGCAAATACCATATTTTCACGTAATAATGTCATGAGCATTATTTCAAAAATCATACCCCTAAAATTAATATATATAGTTTCAAATTAACGCTTATGTGCAGCCCAAAATAGCACGCACCCATAGTAAGGAATGTTTATTTATAGTAAGATTTAAAAATATTTTGAAACTAGGTTTAGTACTAAGTAAACCTTTGAACTTCAACAAAGTTGTTTTTCAGAACCTTTGTTAAAGCATGAAGGAAGGTTACTTAGTACTAAATCTAGTTGTTTATTTTTATACTAGAATTATATAAAATTTTTTAATTGTCTCAAAATAATGCTCATGCGTGTACTCGAAATAACACATATATACTTAAAATAACGCACAAGTGAGTATTATTACGTCAAAATATGGTAAGTTTTTTACTATTGAACATTAGAAAGAAAAGCCTAGCAATTACAAGGAGAAGGTGGAGCTTGAAAATACAAAGGCTGTTACCAATATCAAAGCAGTGAGAAAAAAACAGCACTCTAGTCAAAAAGTTTAAAATAAAGCACGAGCTCTTAGTAAAAGACTGATTAAAAAGCATAAAGATAAACTTTTTGTGAAGTATATGTGCAAGACCTCTCCCTTAAAAGATGTAAAGATGTTAATAGTGCACAACAAGAAGCTAGCGACTTACTAATAATATATTTCAAAGAGAGAAAAGAAGAACTAATCGATAAGTGGGTTCAAGAAGAATATATGAGAAAGACTGTAGCTAATAAGTACAAAAAGATGAAGTATTATAAGAATTGGCACATATATACAGATAGGTTGCTTACAAGTGAAGACATGCCTAGAGGCATAACTAAAAGAAAAATAGAAATAGGGTGAATTGTATATCCAATAGAGGATGATAAAGAAAATATAGCAGAAGCAGTACAATTAAGTGAAGCAATATCAGATTGGCTATCATC